TTGTCATTTATATGCATTCAGATAAATATTATCTCGTCAATGCGGGTTTTGCGAACACATGAAACTTCATAGCTCCATTTAGGGGTGTGAGGTAGCATTTGAAGGCTTATGGTTGGGGAAATTTAGCCCCACAAAATACAAAGGAGCTCTTCAATCTTCGGCATTCATATCTTCGAAACGTTATTGAATGTGCATTTAGCGTGTTAAAGAAAAGATTCCCTATTTTGAAAGTGGCGACAACATATCCCTATGAAAGACAAGTTAAGATTGTCGTTGTTGCTTGCACTTTACATAATCATATCCGAACTATAACATGCGGTGATGATTGGCTCTATGAGGAGTTTGATAGGGATTTTGAACGTCGATTAGTTGAAGGAACAAATATTCAACAGAATGATGTAAACCCTCAAGCTGATGAAAATGATGGCGATGAACTACGAGGTCATATTGCTAAAGCACTTTGGGATGACTATTGTGCTCACCGTTGAGCACAATATGGCACATAAATATAACTGGTTGTAATCATGTTTTCCACTACTCTCTTTTCCACTTCGGATTTTAATATTAAATGCTTGGGTTGTCGTTCATGGGTTAGGGAAATGGTGTGAAACTCTCATTTTTAAAAATATATAATTGTTCATTCTCCTCTCTATGCCCATGGAAAAATTCATATTTTTCCAAATCATATGTTCATCAAACGCATGAAAGAACAAAGTTAAAAATCAAGGTTGGTCAAACATTTTTATGTAATGAGAAAAACAAAAAAAAAATACAAATTTAGAATTTATTGCAACGCATCCAAACAGACATATCTGGCAAATAAATTTTCTTATCATATTTCAATAGACATCCAAACAGTCTACCAACGTAATAAAATAAAACGATAATGTTTCTCAATTGAGGAAAAAAAAATTGCATTTTTTTTCAATGTGAATATTTTTTTCTTTGACATCCAAACTGGGCCTACGTGATTTTCAAATTTTAATTTTCATAAAATTTTAATATCCTAACCATTGAGCAAGCCAAACGGTAGATTTTAATAATATCCAGTATAATAAAACTCCATATCTTAAAATCCATGTGCCCAAATAGACCCTTCCTAAATAGCAAGTTCATAAGACTTAAAACCCTAAGTTCACTACTTTACTTAAAATCAGATCCAATAGATCCAATGTCCCTCTAGTTTATTTGAGAGAGAGGGTGGCTTAACCCACCTTTAAAAAATTAGGGCTTGAGCCACAAAATATGACACAAGGGCAGGGCCGGGCCGGGGCCAGGGGCTGAGACTTGGGTAATTCAATTCGGCCTTCTCAACCATTTTCTTTTGTATTTTTTGTAATTTTGTATTTTTCTATTTGACCTAGCCCTGGCCTTGATAGGACAACGTCATCCCTATGGGAATTAGGGCTAGGTTAGGGCCCAGCCCATTTGCAGCCCTCCTGATCGAAAGAAAGTTCAAAGAAAAAATTTTACATAGAGCTCGATCTGCAGTGTTTTTAAAGCTTTAAATTTTATAACTGTTTTAAAAATATATTTTTAGTATTAAAACCTCAACGCTTTTTGAAGGTGAGCTTTACTTTGATTGTTTAAAGCCGTGCCTCTATACAAACCGCACGAAGTTTAAAACCCACGATAGAAAAATCCCATTTTGTAATAACAAACCCATCCAATTCAATATGTACCCACAATTCAAATTCATCATAAATTACCACTTCTCTTAAAAATGTAATCTGCTGCAAGTTCAATGTTCAATGGTAACAAGACAAAAAACTGCAGTTTTGAACCACCAGGAAATACACCAACTTTTCACCCTAACCCTAACGGATAGGCCACAATAAATGGACATTGAGATTCAAACAGAATGGTCCACAAAAGCCTTGCTGTCTTTGAGAGAGAGAAAAACATCAATCTTTCCAATTTGCTATTTCCCCCTCTTTTGAATTTCAAAACCTTTCCATATAATGTACGGCGAGACAAGGAGAGCTTGAGGCAATGGAGGAAGACGAATTCACCCATTTTCAACAACCATCTGTAGTTTCTCTAGCCCCACTTTCTCTCTCTAAAACAAGGGAGAGGAGGCTGAGTTTGAGGGCACAGAGAGGGAAACCAACTTTCTCTCTCTACAGGGATGATGGCGCAGCGTTAGCTTGGATTAATCTCGAAGGGAGGCTTGTTGGTTGCCCTGCAAATGATCTCTCTTCTGATATAGTGGGTCTTGTTAAGAGCTCTGAGGAAGCCGTATCTTGGGAGCTTTTCACTCCGATTCAAAGGGTTCTCATTGTTGCAGTAGTTGCAGCTGCTTCTGCTAAATGCAACAACAATAACCACCAACTTCGTCGCATTGCCCATCTCGAGAGGTCGATTCAAGATCGGGTAATCGATCGATTAGGGCTATTATCCTTTTCCATTTCTTGGCTTATTTGATGAATGTATTTCATTGATTAAAATGGTTTTGAATGCATGCCGCTTTAATGTACCAATGGAATGAAATCTTGGTTTATGGTTTCTATCTAGGGTTATGAAGGAATAAAAGTCTCAAGAAGAAATACTTATGGATTGATGTGAATGTCAATACACTTTACGAAATGGCTGAAATAACTTATTATGGTTTCCTTTAGGGTTTATTGGTGATGGTAAATTTTCATTTTGATTTCTGTTGGGTAGCTTAGTATCATGGTGAACATTATTATTTATTCAATGCATACATTGAAAATAATTTCAGTCACTCATGTTGTTTTTTTATGGTGTTTATTGTGATAGGAAATTTATATACCAAAATATGTGTGAGTAAACTTTCAGTTTGGTTTTAATTGGTACTTGACATTTCATTTTATTCTCTTTGGGGTTTAATGTAGTAGTAAAATTTCATGTTGATTTTTCCTAGGGTCTATTGCTATAGTAAAGTTCATAATGATTTTCATTGGGCTTTAACATAACAATAAAAATTCATTTGATTTTCTTTGGTTTTATATAACAGCTAATGTCGTTTCTGTTGGGTTTTAGTGTACTAGTTAAATTTAATCTTTTCTTTATTGGCAATGTCATATAGAGTTGGTATTTTATTTTTTATAGCAGTTCTATTCTGTTGTGCTTTTATTTTTTATAGAAGTTCCATTCTGTTGTGCTTTTAGCATTCATCTCAATTCTTGAGTGGTTTTCAATTAATCTTCAAGCCATAAAGGAGATGTCATCTTTGGAGATAGCACAAATATCCTTTTATCAATCAAAAACATTTTCTGGTTTCTGCAGTATGAGGTTTCCTTTTATCAATCATGAAAGTTTCTGGTTTCCGTAGGATGAGGTGCTGCACAATATGCAACAGAAGCTTGATGAGCTATGTGGAAGGATGGGTTTCATGCAAGATCAGCCTGAAAACTTTGCCGAACCCCCCATGATAGACATAGAATGCTGTAGTTGCAGGCGTCGAAGCAGCTCTATCTCTGAGAACGGATCAAAATCTAGTTTCCCTCGTAATCCTGATCCAATGATTTATTTCCTCAAGGTAGTAGCATAATTTTCTTTTTTTTCCATAAATCCTAATAAATGGACATCCCTCAATTATTCTCTTATCATTCCTTCTCTGTTCTCATGGACTCTCCCACCCTCCCTCTCTCTCTCTCTCTCTCTTTCTCTCATCATCTCATTTTCTACTCTCACAGACTCTCTCTTCAGCAATTTCAGGCTGAGGGTCTTGAGAAAGAAGAGTCTCTGAAGATGCCTTTATTAAATGTTTCTGAACCAGAGGAGCGGCGAATGTCTGATTTATCAGATTGGTGTTCCAGTGTTACTTCAGGATGTGAAAACCAGGTAAGTCAATGTTCTGATCAGTGCTCAATCTAATGAGACTGGATGATTCAAATCTCTATCCTCAAAATTTCATGCCTCAAGAGAGCCTTTTGATTTATACAATTTTTTGTCCTTCTTTCCTTTTATTTATTTTATTTTTCTTTGTTTTCCGGCTCGGGGATCCTCGAACCTTTTTATTAGTGGGCACACTCATCTTTCCTGTATTGGTTGCAGCCTAATATCTTCACAATGGAACAAGAGATTTTGGCCCTCCGAACGGAATGCCTAAAGAAGGATGCCACTATGGTGGAGGTTGCACGTGCTAGCAAGGTCTCTCTCTCTCTCTCTCTCTCTCCCCTTCTGAATTCAAGTATATGCATCCTAATGCTCTCTTATGGTTATCCCAAAAACAGAGGATAGCAGATTTAGAAGACATTATCAAAAGGAAAAACACAACAATCACAACACTAAAGAAAGATTTAGTTGTCCTAGAACAGAAGGTGAGTTTCACATTCTCATTTTTGATGAGCTTATTCTTTTCGGGGCTAAGTCTCATATCCATCGACAGGTTCTTCAACTAATGAGGCTCAGAAGACCTTCTTTTGCTCGCTCAGAGAGTGTCCGGCTTTCAGCCATGGTTCCCAATATTCTTTATGACATGGATAGCACCAGCCCCTCTTCTTCTGATTCAGATGCCCCTGTAACTAATTGCCATGAAGATTTAGACATTGAGGTACCTTCGCCTCCTCATGAAATACCCGTTTTGAGAAGAACAGTACCACCTTTGAGTAAACCAAACAGTCTGCATGACCCAATTGCCAAGTTCCCTTCTGAAACCAGAGAGTTACAGAAATCAATAGACTTGAATTTAGAGAGGGAAAATGTTGTGAGAAGAACTATGGAAGCAGCAAAGGCTATGAGAAGCGGAACCCCAGTGAAGAGCTACCGTGGCCCAAGGGCCCGGACTCCTAAAAGGAGATGGGTCTAGAGTTCTTGAATTAACTGATTTAGACTCTTATTCTGGAAAATGGGGGAGCCTCTAAAAAAGTAATTAGCTATTCATGTAGTAGATCCATGTGCCATGGAATAGTGGTATTTATTTCTTGAGTTGCAGAGCACTCCCCCTTAAGAAAGTTATTAGCTATTTGTGTAGTAGATCCATGCGCCATGGAATAGTGGTATTTATTTCTTGAGTTGCAGAGTAGGAGTATAAGGAGCAGATAAGTTGTTTGTAGTCAAATTTATACATGATTAGTCAAATTTGTGAAATATATGGGAGGGAAGATATTCATAGATTCCTTCAGGTGCTTTTCTCTCAAGCATGGACTATGATCATACCCATGAATGGATCAGTACTAACAAGGGCTCTTTCTTGATGCATCAGCCCCACTGATGCACATTCTTCTCTCAATCTGTCCATAAATCATATTGTCACTTTCGGATGTTATGCTGTCCTAGCTTAAGTTATGCTGACTGATAATTGCTTCAAGATATGGTATAAAACTTCAATACATACCTATTCTAAGAGACCAAGTTTATTACTTTACATATTCACGCCCATCATAACATGGCTCTCTTTAGTGTGGTAGGCCATATTGTTATGAATTATGCTTGAAGCCAAATGCCAAAAATATTTGTTTGCTCTGCCTCTAAGGTTCAGGAGGTGCACTTCTCGATGTAGAATGTTGGAAATTATTTAGTTGACTTCTTCTTAGTTATCTTTTAATAATTTCCTTCATGTCATAAGATATCTGTTTTCAGTGCATGTTCATATATTCTTGATGTTCATTTTTAATAGATGTTTTAGATCATTCCTTTATTAATTTTCTATCGAGATGGTTGATTGATTATGAGTCATTGTGCTTTTAAACAATCTCAGAAATTGAGACCAACATCAAACCTTCACTTATGAACTTCTTTGGATGTTGGAACTTCTTTGGAAGTCAATGTCTTAAGTAGATCTCTCTCTCTCTCTCTCTCTCTCTCTCTCTCTCTCTCATAGTCAATGCAGGCTTCTTCCAAATCAAGTATAAGCTTTCGCCTGTGCTAAATTCTAGAAACAAAAATCCAGGTCTTGCAAGTGCTTTCTCGCCATATGCAGGCTAAAAGCTGAAATCCCTCCAAAGCGTTTCTACCATGTTTGGTTAAGATGCTGTTTGGGAAGGGGTGTTTTAAATGATGAAGTGCAATAGCGTTAATGATCCTGTAGTTGTCAAAAGGATAAGGTGTGTGATGTCCCAACAGTATGGAACAAACATTTAAAATTTCACTTTGATGCGAAAGGAAAAGCGGGAAACTAAATTCATAATCTTTTTCGATCATCGAACAAGCAAATAAGCAACAAAACGAAAGTAGAGAAGAGTGAGTAGTTGTAAATCAAGCAAATCAGCAACAAAAGTAGAGAAGAACAAGTGGTTGTAAATCAAACAAAAAAAGAAGCTATTTTCTTCTTGCATAAGTATATTCTTCACAAAGAAATACCAAGGTCTCATGGAACGCCTAGATCCCTATTTATACAAAGTTACTTTAAGAAATTTTTTGAAAAATTCCAAATATCTTATCTATCTCTACCTCATGCACCGTTCCCTTTAATCCAAGAATCTATTTCACACACCTTCCACAAACCTACTAATCTAGGACTCTGTTCAGATTCACTTGCTTTTCCCTAGATCCTAAACTTTAGGCCTCTCATTTTATCCTTAACTAATTTAGGAAAACCAAATAACCAAAGAAAGAAGAAGAAAAAGAGAAGGCCCAACCTTATGCTACCGTCAAATTATTGAACATACTATTCAAAGAAGTCAATTCTAAAGCATTCAAATCGTTCCTAAGTTGGATTGGCTGTATTACTACCTAGCAACACTATCAAATAAAAGTATACCATTCTAGTTCCCCTAAGCTGGTAAACCCAACGTAAACAACAATAATAAAAACTTTCATCCATTTCCCTGAATTTGACTACCAAATAAATATAAAGAAGACTACATTTTGTTCCTTCTCTTGATTTCGATTTGTATCACACTTCGAGGATCCTATGGTCGGCTGGCCCACATAGTCATCTACCATGCTTCCCGCACATGTGTGACCCCGGTGCTTGTGCAATGTGTCGGTGTGTGAGGCGTGCAATGTGGTGCGATGGCTAACCAACCAATTAAATTACGAAGTAAGGCTTACCTCAAAAGTAGGGTTGGATTCAGATGCGTTCCGGTCATTGGCGGTCTTATATCCCAGTGTAGAATTGTAATGGAAATCCCACCAACTTTCATCAGTGGACGTGATTTGGTCCGACTCCCTCACACCTCTCACTGTGTCCATGTCTCGGAGTCATGCGCTTACGATTTCCTATGAGTCCTATGTGCTCGTATGGTTTGGTTTGGATTAGCTTGGTTCATATCGAGTTTGGTTTAGGTTAGTTCGACTTGGGTTAGATGGTTCAAGTAGGCTAGGGTGAGCGGCTATGGAGAGGGTTGACCGGAATCTGATAGAATTCCGTCCCATGAGGGTATAGACGACAAGAAAAGTTGCTCGGCAATTAAACAAAAACCCCGGGAGGAATATGTGATCGGGGTCTACAAGGTCTAAGCCTATCTAAGCGCCGTTTTGGAAGAGCCGCCTTAAAGGCTAGCATAGGCTACGTGGGTTGGGCGACTGTAGGGAGTATAGTATGGTGCAAGGTAGGGGGTAAGATAAACTGTGGTATATGGAGTATGGTGGGTATTAGATAAGAAGTATGGTATGGGGTGGTCTAGGGAGTATAGTAGATATGAATTAGGATACGGTGTATAGTTAGGTATAAGGTATTGTGTAGGTTAGGATGTAGAGTGCGGAGTAGAAAGGGGCATGGGATGTATGGTTAAGTTAAGGGAATGTAGTTTGGTTAGGGTTGAGGTAGCCCTTGGTTAAGTGCAGGGACTTAACCAAAGTGGATTGAGGTTAGGTTAAATAAATTAAGGAATCTAACCTAAGGTCAAATCTAGGGGTAAGAATTCTTTTTTGTAAACTTTTTCTGTCCTTTCAAGGTGATAGAATTAAATGTAAGGCAAAAAGAAATTGGTTACACAAATAGTAAGGTTTATATAGAGCTGCCCCTTTGAATAAGGGTGGATGCTCAAAATTCAAAAGAAATGAGTAAAAAAGAAAATATAAAAAATGCAACCAAAATTCGTGTAAAATAAAAATTAACCAAAAAAGCCATGCACAAAATTCAAAATTGACAAATAGGTACCTCACAAACGGCCTCTTCCCACCCACATGACATGGGGCCTTGGTTTTTGCTCTTACAGCACTGGAACATATAATCTATCACTAGAAAAATATAGATCGTCTCGCTATGATCGTTTTGATATATAATTTGCAAAGAACCATGTTTACTTGATGGTCTTGAGTTTTATGATTTCCATGTAAACTTTACTTGTGTTCTTTGATAAACTTTCGATCAATTACTCAAAAATGTAGAGTTTATTGTGGATCTTTTATCGGTAAATCGAAGGGGAGCCCAACACGATTGTTTTGCATCAAGAATCATGCGAGGAGACATCCGAACAACCCAGTTATGATTCTGACAATTGTTGAAAAGTCAATTCCGTTACATTGAAAATTGTGCCTAATTTTGAGCTGCAAATGGGCATCGACCCCAATTATGATGTTTATTATGTCAACTCGAAAATAATCAAGTCATGATCGAAATACACAAAGTTTGAGCTCAATCTGATGGTCGGCATCAATTATGATCGTTGGAACTCAAAGAGGTCATATACACTGATTTTTGCATAAGCTTGAAAATTTGGGGATTTCTCTCTAAAATATCTTTCGATCCTGCCGAAGATCATATATGAGCCCTGTAGTAAAAGATCATCCTCATCGAGGAGCATGACATATCCAAATTTTAGCTCGATCCGCCTTGTAGATCAAGAGATCCAAGGATACAAAATTTGCACATTGTTTAGTATTGTAGGATTTTACCATTTTTGGAAATTGGTTTGAGATGTTAAATCCTAAAGAGTATGGAAACAACCAATTTTGAAAAGTAGGGCTTAAAAAGGTCCGTTTGGCCTGAAATTTGGGAGTTGGGGTTGTTTCGACCTTCGGATATCATCTATGATGGTTCGCAGGCCGTCAGAGGTTAATTTCTTAGAGCTTTATTGTATTGTTCCTCCGTATACATGTGGAGACAATGCTCCTTGACCTTACTTTCTTCTTGTTTTCTAGTTGTCACACAATTGAGCTGAAATTTGGGAAATATGCTTGAGGTTTTAGGGGGCCCCTATTGTGCTCTTTATGGGGCCGAGATGATGTTATACAGGGGGTATTCAAAATATGGGCTTTATTTTACACGTGCTTCCATGGCTTTTTAGTCATATTTAGCTTCTAAGAGCTACAATTGCAATCATTTCCTCTATTATTCGTATGGCGGGCGGGTGGTAAAAAATGTGTACAAACAACTTACCCTCCCAGAATGTTGTGCTTCCAAGAGGAGCGAGAAGAGTAACATTTAGAACAAAATTGCCCATGCTATCTTTCGAATCATGGCAAGGGCCTTGGTTTTTTTTTAAATTTTATTTCCGGCTTCCAGCTTCAACAAGACCTTTAGATGAGGGGAGATCACGTCTAGCCTATCAAGGCGTCACTGAGGATTTATTTGTCCAACAATCGAGGGCCTTATTGGGGCATGAAATCCATTTTGTTAGAAATCGAGTTTGATTGACAGTTGGGGGCCTTCTTGGTGCATGTGACCCTTATTGGGGCATGAAATCCATTTTGTTAGAAATCAACTTTGATTGACAGTTGGGGGCCTTCTTGGTGCATGTGACCCGATATGTTATAATTCCAGTTTGATTGGAAGTTGGGGCCTTCTTAGGGCATGTGACCTGCTCTGCATGAATTCAAATCAGGACGAAAGTTAGGGGCCTCCTTGGCGCATTTGACCTACTCTATCGGAGCCCATATTTGACAATGGTGGGCCTTCTTAGTGCGTGTTTCCTGCTTTGTTGAGGCATGATTAACCGTCGGGGGCCTTTTCGAGGGTGCGTGACCCACTTTGTCATAATTTGAATTGGGTTGATAGTCAGGGCCGTTTAAGGGCATGTAACCCACTCTGCCAAAATTTAGGTTTGGTATACGCTCGGGGACCCTTCGAGGCCTTGTTACTCGATCTGCCATGCTTTTGATTTGGTTGATGTTCGGGGGCCCTTCATAGGCTTGTGACTAGGTCTGCTGAAATTTTGTTCGAATTTGGTTTTGGATCAATAGTCGGGTGTCTTCATGGGGCTTTCCCTCCCACTTTGCTGATGTTGGATT